TATAGATATAGATATAGATATAGATATAGATATAGATATAGATATAGATATTATGATTAAATCGATAATTGATAGAGAGATTTTGTAATTTACAGATTTATATACCACACCCCCTTCTCCCAAAATGTCAAACAAACGTACTTCAAGAACTAGAGAATATACACACAATTAAACATTATGATTATATTCTGAAAGTTTCTGTCTAAAAAAGCAATTATCCAACAAATAAATTCTTATAATATTGCCTTCACTGCAGCATAGCCCAAGCGCATTCGCTGCTAACTGCGCAGTTATACTGCATATGTTTTTTTTATGTGTGCTCAAAATAAGTGGAATGATTAGAATATCAGCTGACAATATTCAGGGTATCTTCTAGCCAAGCAGTCTCGGCTAGAGCACTTGTTGTTTCTTATTTCGAGTTTTTGGTTGCTGATCATGGGCAGTAAACTGTTCTAAGCATTTCCATCATCATCTGTCTAGACGACCAAGCGCTCTAAATAGAGCACAGTTTTTCTAGTTATTTATAATTATGAAAATATATATATGTATGTATGTATATATATGTGAACCCATATCTCTACAAGTTGCTCTAGCCTTAGGCCGAACATTCAGCAGATGCTGGGATATGCAACACTCCACAGGTGCCAGCACAGCAGAAGCCAGTGATGTACGCTCAGCCGTCGGCTAGGCCAGTATGAATCAATCCCAGAGATGGATTGGGCACTTGCAGTGGGATATAGGATAATGCCATTTCGTCTGTCGGTGCGTCTGTCCGTCCAAAAGTGAATTGGAGTTGAGCAGATCTGCAGATCATGAAGAGACTAAGGTCAAGGGCTGAGTTACTGATGACAAAACGTTGCTTCATTCGCTTTTTCAGGTATTAAGGATATGCTTATAATGGAAATGCAGACGTCGCCACATCTTAGCCATGGGCTAGCGGCACTTTCGCCGGTCCAAGTACATCAGCATTCGCATTCGCATCCGCATCCACATCTGCATCCACATCAGCATGAGACGCAGCCTCAGCATCAGCATATGCACCAACACCATATTATCCAATCCCCATCACAAGCTCAGCCTCTGTCGCTATGCAGCAGCCAACAACAGCAGCACCAGCAGCAACAGCAGCATCAACAGCAACATCATCTCCCACAGCAAACGAGCAGCGCGTCTGCAACTTTGCACGCACTCCAAAATTCTGCGACAGGCGAGCAGCACAGCATAGCACATCAGAATCAGAATCAGAATCAGCATCAGCAGATATATACCTCAGCGCAGTTGGCTGACAAGTCCAAGGGTAAGTTGAAGCGGGTGAAATAGAGTGTGAGAATTGGGGACGGCTAGCACATACTCAGTCAAGAAATACGCATTACACATACACAAGAGCACACATAGTACCACATGCACACAAATACGCATATTTACGAAATGGGACACGCAAGATAGAGAAAGGAAGATCGGGGGCTGAGAAAAAAGAAATAAAGGTGGAAATATGTAGATTAGAGAGCAGAAATGAAATGAATTCTTTAATGAAATTTAAACTGATTTCAGAATGAACAATTTGATCAGAATCAACAACAGCAACAATATTCGCAATAGATGCAATAGGTCAATGTGATTCTTCTCTCCCTCTCCACCACTCAATCTCTCTCTAGGTGTGTGTGTGATTATATTATACGATTCGATTCGAGGCAAACAAAAGATTACATTTACATATCAAAGTTTCGAAATAACTCCATGGCAAAGGTAAGGGAAGCTTAGGACGAGTACTATCGACTGCTTGGGCCCAGATTCAAGTTGAAACAGACTTTTATTTACTCAAAGTTCTGCAGTCTCAAAGAAATGAAAGCCATCCGCCAGCCACCTGCCCCTTGTGCTCCGAGTCGCAAGTGCCAAGACAGTAAACAATCCGAATATACCCGCCCTCAGCTGAGCGAGAAAGAAAAGCTAAAATTCGATGTCCATTGAGGAGCGTCAGGTGAAAGGAGGAGGAACATATAGGGCCACTGAAGGAATTCGAGCACAAATATTGTTCAAGAACAATAGCTTAACCATGCAACTAGGGCAGGGGTACTGGGAAGCAGAGTCACTCGTCCGAAAGACAAGTATTCTGGTCGAAAAGAGTAGAGTACATGCACCCATAGACACATTGTTCTCCTGCTGTGCTTTCATTTACGAATTAAATGAAAAAATAAAACAAAAAAAATTGGTCACGGAATGCGCAATAAAATTGCAACTGGAATGCGCTATGGATCGAAAGACTGGTCGATTGGAAGTCTGGACGAAACTCACAATTGAAACTAAATCTAAAATGCAGCCCTAACAAAGAACCTTCATTTTCCCTAACAAGCTCTATATAACATAGACGATTCTCAAAAGACGAGTGTCTTCGATTGAAATCGTTATAGAGTTATCAGAAGTCTACATAGCAGTGTGAGCGTGTCAGGGTATCTCCTAGTCGTACACACCTGCCCGTCTCATCTTACCTCATCCCAATGTATCACTTTGCAATTGCAGTGCAAGAGTATGACGAATACTCGAATGGCTTGGTAAGAGGACTGTCCACGACTGCCGCCGTACAGGAATCTGGTAGCAGTTTTCTGCCTCACTCACAGGGGAATGTGGAATGGATATCAGCCATGAATGATGCTCAAAATAATGCAGGTATTAACTATACTGACATATACATATACATATACATATATATATACATATACATATACATATACATATA